TAAGATTGTAAGGAAGAAAAAGTGTGAAAGCTCTTTTGCAGGAGAAATGGGCAGTGTTGGGTGATAGTAATGGTGGTGATGGTATTGTTAGAATGTCTTTGGTTCAGGAGTCCCTCTCTGACTTTTGGGAGGGCCAGTGCTCTCTAGATGCTTTTGGCAAAATTGTCACTTATGAAATCTGTACCATTCTTTGTTTCACATTGCTATGATTTAGGAGTTCTAATTGTGGGGTGGTCCACAGTGAATTATTACAAATGCAGAATTATGGTCACCTAAAAAGCTACCCATGGTCATCATGTCAGGAGGAGAAAATGTTTGTTTGTTTTTCTTAACAAAAGAATGCTTGGAGTTGTGGGAAAGTTGTAAACTTGGCAATGAATAATAGTTCAAGCCTATCAATTAAGTGAATTTTTATTTTATCATTTGTTTTATTTGGGAGCTGCTGTAATAGTCATTGAAAGAACATCCATCTTCATATTTTTAAAACAAAACAAAAATACCATTGAACATTAGGGCAAAGGACAAGAATTTCAAGGTTTTACCTTTTGACTTCAGCAAATATTTGTCACTCCATTTTTCTTGCTGGATTTCGCCATTTGACTTGTGTTTTTGTTTTGTTCCCATTTGCTCCTAACTCCTAATTCCTGATAACTTTAGTTTATTCTATTTTTGATGGTTGTTTTATTCATAAATGTTCATAATGTTTTGCTATGCCAGTGAAAAAATGTATTTCTCCCTTTATATTTTTCCCAAATATACTTATTCTTCCCTTTATGACCAGGAAATTATTTAAATTGGCCTATGGAAAGAGCTTCTTGGTATTTATTTAGGGCACGGTGGGGAGTTCTATTAGTTTATAGGTCATGCCACATCTGGAAGAATAGGTACCTTTTATTTACTTGTTTGAAAACCTGTTAAAGCAGATTCAGTATTTTAATTCTCTCTTTTTTTTTCTTTTTCTTTTCCTTTTTTTTTTTTTTGTTGACAGGGTCTTGCTCTGTTACCAAGGCTGGAGTGCAGTGGCATAATCATAGCTCACTGCAGCCTTGAACTCCTGGCCTCAAGTGATCCTCTTGCCTCAGCTGACAGAGTGGCTAGAACTTTAGGCGTGTGCCACCATGCCTGAGATTCAGTATTTTAAAGGATTACATATGCATAGTTAAAAATGACTCATTACTCTGGTAAATCTGTGCACTTTTTAGTTTTCTGAAAGAACCGAAAATCTGCCAAAAAATCAGAACTAATCACAACTTTAAATGTGTAGTATATCTAGTAGATACCTTTAAAAATATAACCTATCTTTTCCCAAACTGGATAAAGATACAACCTTTCCAATTTGTGAAGGATATTATGATTATATCATGTAAAACAAATGTAGAAATTTGTGTGGAATAAATGATCTTCCAGACAAAGCATCGAGTTTTTCATTTTTTTCTTTTTTTTTTTTGAGTTGGAGTCTCACTCAGTCACCCAGACTGGAGTGCAGTGGCCGCTCCCGGCCACCGCAGCCTCGCTTGCTGGGCTCCGGCGATCCTTCCGCCTCAGCCTTCCGAGTAGCCGGAATTACAGGCATGCGCTGCGCTGCCCGGCTGATTTTTTGATTTATTGTAGAGATGAGGTCTCGCTGCCCAGGCGGGTCTCGAACCCGCGGGCTCAGGCAATCCCTTTCACCTCAGCCTCTCAAAGGCGCGGGATTACAGGCTGAGCCACCGAGCCCGGCTGCATCGAGTTTTAATATAAGGATACAGAATAGGACTTTAGTATATTTCTATGACTGGTAATATCCCTTTAGTTTTTGTTTGTTTATTAAATTAACATGTTAAAGATTTGAGTATGTTGCAAATCTTGCTTATGTTAGAATTATTAAAAATGAGCCATCTTTCATCTGAACCATTTATTTCCAGTGAGTTATTTTGCTAAATGAAGGCCAGTTTATCAGTTCTTCTGTTAAAGGAAATGAGTCAGTGGCCACCTCAGTTATATTTATTTTATGGTAACATTTAAAGTATGTTTTTAATAGTGTATATGTCAATGTTTCTGACTCCTATAGTAGTACAAGTATCTGAATAAAAATGGGGTAAATGAGAAGCAGAGCTGCTGGTACCATCACAAGTGTACCTAATTAAGAAGATGTTTGAGGCTCACTGTTCTCTGATTTATTAGGTAGGAGAGACTATTCTGAAGAACATGATTATGGAATGGTTACCATGACAATTACATTCAAAGAATTTAGAGGAGACAATGAATCTGTGGGGATCATCCATTTTGATTTATTTGACTGGTCTTTTAAATTCAAACAGCTGTTGTCTCTGGATTTTATTTTTTCACATATTCACCCAATTGATTGATGATCTAGGGATCATTTAAGCTTGGCTGTCAGTAGTGATAGGGTCAGCAGTGTCCCTGACCACAATACTTTTGTTAAACCTGAAGGAGAGTGATCGTATGTGTTAAATGTTACTGCAAAGTAACTACTGACTTCTTCTGAAATAATATAAATGGTTTGTCTAATTTCACTTATTAATCCTGTCAGGGTAGGATAAGATTAACATGACTTATTTTAAAAGCATGAGTGACCCTAAAGTGTTTGAGTTTTATTTTGGATTGCTTTTGTCATTACATTTTGGGGGGGGGGGTGGAGTCTCACTCCATTGCCCAGGCTGGATTGCAGTGGCACATTCACGGCCACCCCAGCGTTGACCTGTTGGGCTCTGACAGTCCGTCTGTCTCAGCCTTCCAAGTAGCCGAAACTATAGGCACACGCTACCACACCCAGGTAGTTTTTCATTTATTGTAGAGATGAGGTCTCACCAAGTTGCCCGGGCTGGTCTTGAACCCATGGACTTAGGAAATCCATTCACCTTGGCTTCCCAAAGTGCTGGGATTACAGGCTGAGCCACTGAGCCCAGCCTGTCATCACATTTTTATCCAGTGTGTTTGGCTGCTGTTCTTTTTTTATTCTTTGACTTGCGCAATACTGTCAACACAATTTGTATTATGTCTGGTCAGAGCCTTAGTTACACACTGCAGATTGAAAAGTACACACAAATATAACTACCATGAGTGTCTTCATTCTCACAACCTCAACTAATGCTAAGTGGGACATACTGGTACAGACAGTAAAGTGAAATGAAGATCCAAATGCAGTTTATACCTTACCATCAATTTGTATCCTTCTTTGTGGACTACTTGATGGTAAAGCCATAAACTATGGAACAGAAGACTACTCTAGCAGGGACCTGAGTTGGACCCTGAAATGAGAGCTTTGTCTCCTCAGCCTTTGGACCTTTCTCTCTTCTGCCCTCTGGAGGCTGTCAGCGAACATGAACTACAAGGAATTTCTGGAAAAGATAGCCAGGGTCTTGGTCTAGTTATTAGAAGACAGTCTCCCTGCCCCTAGGCCACCTCTAGCCCCTCCAAGCTGGAGTGTGTAGAGGTGAGAAGCAGGCAGAGTGGTGTCAGGGAAGCCATCGGCAAAGTGGGAACCTTAGGAAGGAAGTGATTCCGGTTCTTGAAGTAGAGAACTGGATTCTGTCAAGTAGAATCAGTACACAGTATACCCATCTCCAGGAAGAATGAATTCCAGAAGGGAAAGATGAAATAGGATAAGACTAGAGTGTGACAGATCCAGGTTTGAAGTTTCAGCTGGGCTGAATCTAAAGAGAGGGATGTTTGATGCCAGGCGTTTGTGGAAGTATGTGATATCACTATCCAAGTGTGATAACAGTTTGACTCTGCCTGCTATAGTAATAGTAATAATTGTATATTGAACATTCAGCTGATACCTTTTGTATGCAAGACACTACTAAGTGCTTTACATGCATCTACCTCTTTACTTCTATGAGGTAGGTTGCCATTATGAGGTAGGTTGGCCATCATGAGGCTCAGAGAGGTTGGGCTAGTATGAGGCAGAAACAGTAGTTGAACTCAGGCAGCCTGACTCTGCCGCCCTTGCAGTGAACAGCTGTGCCATGCTGTATTCCTGCCGCAGCTGCATGGAAGGGTGTGGCATCTTCTAGAAACAGTGAGTTCCGTATGAGTGGAGTATGGGTGGTGGGAGATGAGATGGAGTAAAGCCTTTTACGTATATATACCATGCTAAGTACTGGGAGATAGAACAGAAATGAGAGACTTTTGTCCTTGCCATCAAGACCCTTAAAGTCCTGTAGGACAAACAAGACCTAATGCAAAATAAATAATCCATATTCATATGATATAATATGAAAATACTGTCTCTACTTAAGTGCGGGTAGGGAGAGGACTAGAAGGTGTTCCTTTGAACTAAATCACTTTCAGATATTCTCTTTCGAATGTTAGCTCTTCACTGGCACACATTTGCCTTCCGCTGGGCTTTTGACCTGGCAGACAAGAACCCTGTCCCTGTATTTGTCCATTTTGAATTAGGAAGCATTGTCTTCAACTATAACAGTTGTCATTAAGATCTAAACAGATGAACCCATTAGCCTACTGAGCCAACTAGACCAGCTATTTATTTCCCCGCACATTAACATTTTAAAAATCTGTAACCATCGCCTGTTTGAGGATCATCCTGGAAATGATTGGGAGTGGGAGGGGGCTACATGCCTGATTACAATCCTTGGTTTATGTTTGCCCTGTTTCCATCGATACTTCTTGAGGGCCTCCTGTGTGCCAGGCACTGTCCTGGGCATGGGGACAGGAGCAGTGAAAAAACAGACAAGGTTCCCCTCTCCCGGAGCTATCTTTTTTTTTCTTTTCCCCAGATTTTATTTGCTCATGTATATTTTCACAGTTGTTCTAAAAGCGCATTTAGCGTGAGTTTCAGGATTTCACACTTTGGGGATAATACAATGATCACACATCCTTTCTCCTTTGAGGAAGCCAGTGCTTTCTGAATAAAGGGGTGAGGGGTAAGGCCTGAAGGGCACTGGCCTGTGGGGAGGCCGCATGGGCGTGGGGAGGGCAGCATGTTGTGGTGGGCTGCAGTTGTGTCTGGGATGGGAACAGCACAAGGCACACCTGTTTCCTAGTGTGGCCGAACCATCGCCCTGGGATGAGCCTGCCCACTAGTCTGCATCCTAATCCTGCTGTTGATTGGAGATAACTTCAGTGGTCACACGGCACCTCGTCTCCATGGCAACCCCTATAAATATTCCTCTGGTGACTTGTGCTCTACATTCTGGCTGGATCGTAGCCCTCCTGTGGCAAAATATTCTAAAGATGTTAAAAGAGAAAAAAAAAAGGCTCAACTAATAAATCTATTCTAAATGACTGAGTCATTTGTTTTGATTACCCGGGTGATTGCCAAATGTTAATTTAAAACTGAAATAGGCCATGAGCTCACTCCCCTAACAATGCTGAGTGTTTGAGCTAATACAGCTTGATAATGAGGGAGCCAGATCTACTGCCAGTGCTCATGTTATATGATAAACAGACATTTGGAGAAATATGCAGAACATCTTGGCAGTTTTCCTTTAACTCAGGGTTGTAAATACAAAGTAGACTGTGTTACCATGAGCCATTTCAAAGAAAGTTGACTTTTTTTAATTTTAGAATTTTGAACTTTTCTTCCAGAAAGGTAACTTTGTCTCTTGATTCTCATTTTTCCCCTAACTTAGGCACATTGGAAGTTGTTTTTGACCGTATCCAGCCCTTGCCGAATACAACCTATTCTCCACACATTCAGTGTGAGGTAAGTTTTACTAATTGCCACAGATTCTTACACTGATCTCCAGCCTTCCAATTTGTGGTGTTAGGGGTGGCATTATACAAAGGGCTTTATTTGTACAGGAGATTTAAGAGGGTTCATTATAATGGATCCAACCAACATCACTGCTTACCCTAAATATTAGCTCTCTGGGGAAATGACTTTACAAGAGAAAATCTCATTTACTTTGAACTTGGGGGCATGGAAAGGAAATGTGCCAGGCACAACAGAACTGTTAGAAGGCCTGCTTGAAAAGAGAGATCTGCTTGTGTCGCAGCATGAACAGTAGGGAGCAGGAAAGCTGCATGGAGCAGATACCGGGATGGGAGGAAGGAGACTCCTGTAGACGACCAGGAGAAGTTTGGGCTGACCTGATCAGCTATCAGGAACTTTTCTGTTGTGGGAGAAAGGAGCAAAGATGGGGAACTGCCACTGCAAAATCTGGTGATAGGAACACCAAAGAGTGCTTCTGTTGGGTTACATGAACAGGAACCAGGAAATTTTCTTCTGATTTGCCCTCAAGTTCAGGGCAGCCTTGCTGCATTGGTGTGAGCAGTCAGATTGAGCAGACCTTCCACTTAACATCCACTGGATAGGCATCCTGTGTCGTCTTCATTTAGCCATGGTGGTTTATTGATACTCTGTGATGATCCAGGGTTCCTCATTTCTCACACTGAGAGAAGGGACGTTGATCTTTGAAAATAATGAAAGAAGCCGGGCTCAGTGGCTCAGCCTGTAATCCTGTGCCTTTGGGAGGCTGAGGTGAGTGGATTGCCTGAGCCCGCGGGTTCAAGACCCGCCTGG